AAATCATGACATTATACAGCACCACTTCTTCTATTAGCCACTGAAAACTGGATAAATACCCTGCTGATGTCACCTCCAACTGCATTTATGAATTTACGTGCACTTGTGGGAGCAAGTACATTGAAAGCACGGAAAGAAGGGCTTCTATCGGGTTTTCTGAACATATTCTAAGAAATCTGTGCCTGAAAGGAAGCAAATATTCTCACAGTGCAATTACCAGATATCTTGTTGATACTGATCATCTCGTAGAGGTTTCTGAGTCCTTCAAAATATTAAGTAGACAAAGGATAGCAGGTTTAGTACGATTTGGCAAAGCGATCGCAATCAAACGACTCAAACCAGACTTGTGCATACAGAAAGAGAGTGTGATTAATCTCTCACTCCCTTGATAACTGAATTTTGATTTTGATTACGTTAATTAGTCATCTAATTTAGTGATGTCAACTCACTGAGCAAATCTAAATCTTATAAACTGTAACCACTTTTGTTTCCCGAGTTGCTATGTGAACCTACATGCTGACACTGTTGATTATTTTTTTCTGTCTTCCCCTTCCCCCTCTTTTCTACTTTGAAAGCGTATAAATTGATGATGCAAACTTAAACTAAAAATTGTAATGCTTACATTTTAGATACCTCACTTCTATAATATCTCCTCTCTACTACCACTTAAACATTAAAGTATGTTATTATCATTTGTAAAGGTATTGTAATTTCAGATCGTCTGCAGATGATGCAAGCCTGTGAAATAGAATGATATAATTTTATACTGCAAATTTTGTCTTCCTTTCTTTACCGAAATTTACCAAAGGAACCAAATGTATGAAGAAAAAACTTTAGATTGAAAATTGCTTCAGTCAACTCAGTGACTGTTCAGTGGTGTTGCTTTTGCATGCTGTTCACAGTGTTTAGTTTTTGAATTGATTAACTGATTACCTGTGGAATGACGGTTTAGAAGGGGAGGCATCCTTTCCTTACATACCGAAAATGTCAGCTAGATGCTTGTGACTATTCCAGTGAGTGATAGTGTTCCAACTGGGATTCCAACAGAACATCTATAAATAATTCTTTATTCTCTAAACAACATTATTTTGTCCCTGGTTAGTGCATAGAGTGACTTCTTTTGTCTTTGAGGAATCTTCATACTCGAATGGGATTAACAAATCTTACAACTAATCTCCTATTAGATTTTTTATCCCTGACCCTGCAGAGTGGTAATTCTCAAGGAGACTGAAACATAACTATTCAAAAGATATATTTTACCGAAATGTGCGAGTGAGAAATACGAATGTATCTCCTGGCAATTGTGAGTTAAAGAAAGGAACATGAATTATTTATATCCTGCAGTATTGGGTTAACAACTGAGTGTCTGCTAGCCAGGCGAAATCCCACTGGCTGTTTACCTGAATAATGAATGCATAGGTATCCATCATTGTGGTGAAATCTGACTGTTTGGTTTTCTGATGAATGATGTGTAGGAAATCAGAATGTGAGAAACCAAGATTCTAACTGATATATTACCAATCTGGCTCGTCTGTAGAGTTATAAATAACCACTACTGAGAAAAAAATCGCACTAGTCAAGGCACTCACTGTACTCGGACTCATGCAGCCTACTGAGAGTTGTCAGCTGACAACTGTGATGACAACCATTGGTGTCTGTCATGGGTGCCCATTCTCCCCATTTCTATTTAATTTCATCGTAGATGTATACACTAATGTAATTGACCATAAGTGGTTACAGTAGCTTAACGATTGACTTGTTATCAACAAGGAATAATCTGGTTGACTTAGAATATGCAAATAGTGTATTCCTACCAGGTGAAGACGCTGACAAAATGAGGAGTCTTCTGGACACATTGAGTAGCAGCAATCTTCGAATTTTTGGGGTAGGATTGGCTATCTTTCATTATAGGTGTCTCCGGTGTCAGTTGGTATAATAAACGCTGACCAATAGTGAGGTTAGGCATTGAGTACTAAGTAAGGAGAGTTGGTTAGGACATGTGTTGCACATGCCTTCTCCATCGCCTTCCTCGAAAGGCGATGTTAGCGGGCACAGAAGCATGTTAGAAAAGATCTAGTGTGGGTCACAACAAAACATGGCATCAGCCAACGAAATCCATATGAGTAAGTTTGAGCCACATAGGAAGATGTAGACTTCCTACCTATTTTGAGGTCCACAGGATGGTAAAAACCAATGACTGGATGGAGACAAGTGGTGGGTGATATGATTCAGAATTGCTGTTCTCGGTGGCACAGGTGCATTCACTTTATGTGACCTGTCATGTCCAATAAAACTCTGTACTTTTTCCCTCACTTCCACATCTATTTATAATCTCTCTTTTACTTTGTGTGCTACATGAAGTGTGGCAACTGGAACTGCTGCTTTTCTGTGCAAAGTTGTATGTCGGAACCAGTCAGTCAGTCAATACGATGTATGGGCATGGATAACACATATGCTAGTCATCTGAAACAGTTAAGTTGTGAATATCAGTCGATCCACCTTCACAACCTCATTGATTGACTGACTATCTGTCTTTACCTGACATTCGACGCCTAATCTCACTCAATACTACTTGACCTGTGATGCCACATGACGCGGGTATTAGAACTTGGACCCCTCTGAAGAAGGACAGTTAACGTCTTCATATCTGACATCTATAGACGAAGATGGGATGATTCGCTGCTTCGTTGTATACATGTCCCTCGATTGGTGGTAGCCAGATATGACTTAGATTTGAAGATGTCACACGAGCCTTTTATATCCGCCGTGATATTTTTGCAGTAAGCGAACAGTCCATTAAAGCTGATGCAACCTCTCAAATAATTGAAGTGGTGATCAACTCACTAAACCACTTCACTCGCAATGTTTTGGCTAACTAGGAGTTAGTGCAGTCCAGTACTGCAGCATTATCTTACACATTCGACAGAAGCACTGTCGTATATCAAACATTTGAAGATTTCTGCACAGTACCATCTACAATAACAAGACTATCCTCTAGTAACAACTAATAACTGAATCCCTTCGTCGCTTAAAATAATTTAGGGTCGGTCTCCTCCCTAGTGCATCTATGATGAAATTGAATGTGTTCCAACTAAAATGATATATATATATATATATATATATATATATACATTGCCAATTTTCTTTCTTTCATTTATCAAGATGGACTCAATAGGTCTATTTTCAAACTTGATCGTCCCCACAAAGCATTGAATCCAACTTATCAAGTACCCACAGTGTTGACAATTCATACTAAGATCCGTCTTATACGCTGGACAGCAATACGTCCGCTGCTGAAATGTATGAAAAGACCAGGAGAAATAAAAGAAGACGGATCAGTGGTCAATGGACAACCACAATGCTCTTTCCATCCTTCATGGACGGTGTACCACTCGTTACGTAATCGTCCAGATATTAATAAGAAAAAACGAAGAAAGGTTGGAAAGACTCCTCTTGCCTATGAAGTAAGTTTTCGTATTAGAGCATATTCATCATTTCAGTGTTGATGACGACATCACTTAGGGAGAATCATTGAAAACTAGCATCAAAGACCACACTGAACAGCTATATCGACCCGACGCTCTCTGTTGTGACTTTTTGGCAGTGCACAAACCAAAGAGCCTGAATTTGTTTAACATTCAGTTACGTCTAGGCAGAAGTTCATATCCTGAAATTCTCACAACTGTTATTTTGAGTTAGTTAACATTAGTTAACATCTGCCAACCAGTCCCTTCGAGAAGCATCCTCTGTAGACCCTGACATCAATATGTGGCACCCTGTGTAACGACCAGTCGTGGTCAGTGGGGTTCACCATGTGAGATAAGGTGTGTAGTGAACGCTTGTCGAAGGCATTGTCATTTCGTGGTATACTTTTAGCGTTAAACGAAGATAAGATTCATGGGTCATTGAATTCCGATCGCTAAAGATGAATGAACAATTGACGTGGCCTCGTTATATCACCAAGAGGTCCTCAATGGTTCGATCTCTAATGGAGTCGTGGCTGTGGACGCACTGTGGAAGTGAAGTCCCAAACTAAGACGAAACACAGCTGTCCATTGTTTTACTTGCTCCTGTTAGTTTACTGCGACTATTTCTTCTTAACGACGTGTCAATTCGTAATCGTTCTCGAAATCAATTGAAGTCCTGAAACTTGAAAGTTTCCCTACCAATTTGTCTGCTGGATAAATATATCCTTGACATACAAAGTGGAGGAGTATTATTATTAGGAGGAGAATGTTGACGCCTGTTATTATTGTTTGTTCGCATTCATGCCCTATCAAAAGGTCAGCGAAAAATGTGTTAAATCATTCTTGTTTTGCGTGTATTCTAAGTTGAAGGCTGTGCTCAGCTTTAGTGCTCGACAACTCTGTAGAGGTGTATTTGTAACTGTACTAAATCTGAGCTATTTTATTCACCACATATCATAGAGTAGGATCAACTCATCTAGATTTCGCTAGGTTTTTGTACTCCGCTAGTGTGATCAACAATGCCATGTTAACTGGTTCACTAGGCGGTTCTGAACCTGCGGAAAAGACAGAAAGGTGGGCGCGAACCCAGTTGTGACTAACGCGATACATTCATCTTAAGCGGTCGGAATTCAATGACCCATGAATCTTATCTTCGTTTAACGCTAAAAGTATACCACGAAATGACAATGCCTTCGACAAGCGTTCACTACACACCTTATCTCACATGGTGAACCCCACTGACCACGACTGGTCGTTACACAGGGTGCCACATATTGATGTCAGGGTCTACAGAGGATGCTTCTCGAAGGGACTGGTTGGCAGATGTTAACTAATGTTAACTACCTCAAAATAACAGTTGTGAGAATTTCAGGATATGAACTTCTGCCTAGACGTAACTGAATGTTAAACAAATTCAGGCTCTTTGGTTTGTGCACTGCCAAGAAGTCACAACAGAGAGCATCGGGTCGATATAGCTGTTCAGTGTGGTCTTTGATGCTAGTTTTCAATGATTCTCCCTAAGTGATGTCGTCATCAACACTGAAATGATGAATATGCTCTAATACGAAAACTTACTTCATAGGCAAGAGGAGTCTTTCCAACCTTTCTTCGTTTTTTCTTATTAATATCTGGACGATTACGTAACGAGTGGTACACCGTCCATGAAGGATGGAAAGAGCATTGTGGTTGTCCATTGACCACTGATCCGTCTTCTTTTATTTCTCCTGGTCTTTTCATACATTTCAGCAGCGGACGTATTGCTGTCCAGCGTATAAGACGGATCTTAGTATGAATTGTCAACACTGTGGGTACTTGATAAGTTGGATTCAATGCTTTGTGGGGACGATCAAGTTTGAAAATAGACCTATTGAGTCCATCTTGATAAATGAAAGAAAGAAAATTGGCAATGTATATATATATATATATATATATATCATTTTAGTTGGAACACATTCAATTTCATCATAGATGCACTAGGGAGGAGACCGACCCTAAATTATTTTAAGCGACGAAGGGATTCAGTTATTAGTTGTTACTAGAGGATAGTCTTGTTATTGTAGATGGTACTGTGCAGAAATCTTCAAATGTTTGATATACGACAGTGCTTCTGTCGAATGTGTAAGATAATGCTGCAGTACTGGACTGCACTAACTCCTAGTTAGCCAAAACATTGCGAGTGAAGTGGTTTAGTGAGTTGATCACCACTTCAATTATTTGAGAGGTTGCATCAGCTTTAATGGACTGTTCGCTTACTGCAAAAATATCACGGCGGATATAAAAGGCTCGTGTGACATCTTCAAATCTAAGTCATATCTGGCTACCACCAATCGAGGGACATGTATACAACGAAGCAGCGAATCATCCCATCTTCGTCTATAGATGTCAGATATGAAGACGTTAACTGTCCTTCTTCAGAGGGGTCCAAGTTCTAATACCCGCGTCATGTGGCATCACAGGTCAAGTAGTATTGAGTGAGATTAGGCGTCGAATGTCAGGTAAAGACAGATAGTCAGTCAATCAATGAGGTTGTGAAGGTGGATCGACTGATATTCACAACTTAACTGTTTCAGATGACTAGCATATGTGTTATCCATGCCCATACATCGTATTGACTGACTGACTGGTTCCGACATACAACTTTGCACAGAAAAGCAGCAGTTCCAGTTGCCACACTTCATGTAGCACACAAAGTAAAAGAGAGATTATAAATAGATGTGGAAGTGAGGGAAAAAGTACAGAGTTTTATTGGACATGACAGGTCACATAAAGTGAATGCACCTGTGCCACCGAGAACAGCAATTCTGAATCATATCACCCACCACTTGTCTCCATCCAGTCATTGGTTTTTACCATCCTGTGGACCTCAAAATAGGTAGGAAGTCTACATCTTCCTATGTGGCTCAAACTTACTCATATGGATTTCGTTGGCTGATGCCATGTTTTGTTGTGACCCACACTAGATCTTTTCTAACATGCTTCTGTGCCCGCTAACATCGCCTTTCGAGGAAGGCGATGGAGAAGGCATGTGCAACACATGTCCTAACCAACTCTCCTTACTTAGTACTCAATGCCTAACCTCACTATTGGTCAGCGTTTATTATACCAACTGACACCGGAGACACCTATAATGAAAGATAGCCAATCCTACCCCAAAAATTCGAAGATTGCTGCTACTCAATGTGTCCAGAAGACTCCTCATTTTGTCAGCGTCTTCACCTGGTAGGACTACACTATTTGCATATTCTAAGTCAACCAGATTATTCCTTGTTGATAACAAGTCAATCGTTAAGCTACTGTAACCACTTATGGTCAATTACATTAGTGTATACATCTACGATGAAATTAAATAGAAATGGGGAGAATGGGCATCCATGACAGACACCAATGGTTGTCATCACAGTTGTCAGCTGACAACTCTCAGTAGGCCATCACCTGGCTGCATGAGTTCGAGTACAGTGAGTGCCTTGACTAGTGCGATTTTTATCTCAGCACTCCCTTCACGGCCGAACATCGTCATAGCACCTCTTGGTCAACCGAATCGAATTCCGCCGTTACGTCAAGAAATATGGAGATTGTTGGACGCCAGTAAGTATGTTCTTTTTTTAGAATCTGTCCAAGGGTGAAGATATGACCAATTCACACTCTTTCTGGTCTAGAGCCTGCCTGATTTTCTTGTTTGTTTTTCCCCAGCGCCACTTTAACTACTCATGACTATCTCTCTATGAAGATTGGTCTTCCTTCTTGTGCACTGGAGTAATCAATGACTTACACGGGAACGCAGTGGCTACACCGCACTGCCTTGTGGATCAGACTTCAAGTGGAAAGCGCGGGTGGGGTGGCCACTTAAGGCAAACACCACCTGCTTCAGTCTAAGCATACGAGCAATGGTATCCCAACCCTCCGAGGAGATACGTTTTGTGTGGCGCATCACTTGGTTGAATAATAGCAACAATAAACGGTAACCTTTGCAAAAAGTAAGAAGCATATACCTAGTGTTACCACTGGTGCTTGACTCTCACTGATCATTTTCACTGCCATTTGATCTGCAGCTAGAAATAATGGATCTACCAACGAATTTTTACCACTTGAAATTGACGAGTTAGACAAGGAGGTGGTTTTCACTTGAAAGTTTTGTTGTCGTGATTGACTGTTGTTATTCGCTGACGAAATTCCTGTTCACGTTCAACCATCTAGAAATTTTTCACCGAAGAGAAAGAAATGAAAAGATTCAAAAAAATTCCGTGTTACTAGCAATATGAAATCTCACAAAAGCTTGTAAATAAATATATGTGGGATAATCGCCAAGTTGACAGAAGAGGTAGCGAAGATACATGACCAAGTAGAGGAGTAATGTTAAAGAAGTCGTCGCCTCTTTCAAACCTGGGGGTAGCATCGTTTCAAACTTATAGACGGAGGCGGCGACACAGGCGACGACATCAAAGTCATGCATGAGGAAAGGAAAACAAGACAAAGATTCTCATTATTACTCTGAAATAATCGGTGTCGCATAATATCCAACAGCACTCACTTATCAACAGAGCAAAGACCTGAATTTCTAACACGAATGTCAAGTCTCTCGATGTGAATGTCTCATTAAAAAATTGAAGTATATGTTTCACGAAAAGCACTGCCACCAGGCTACTGTCAACTTTTGATCAACCACGAACTTCGCTCATTAGATAATGTAGATCAGATTGCCCGTAGGAAAGGATATAATGAGCACAATAATGAATTCTAACTATGAATAAACCAAGAATATATTACAGGTTGAATGACGAGCAGATTTCAGACAACCATTGAAAAACCAGTACAGGAATACTGGACAGTTACTTCGTCCCAATCTGCGACTCATCAGTCACACGCAGGACCTTACGGTTACAAGGCGCTTTCATGGACGATTCAGCCACTGGAACCTGACTGGATGGTTTATGAATTCTAGCCTCTGCCGAGTCGCGATAGTTTTATACAGTGCAGCCGCCAGGCATTATCACATAGGCGAGTAACCATCTTCTTGCCCGACATAGTGGACCCTTCTGGTCACAACTTTTTACTGCAGATCCAGGTAACTTTCTATGTGGAGCCAGTCTTTAGTGACCATCAGACTAATTTTCAAGTGTTGGAAAATCGGTACTCCCTGTTGATTTCTAATGCTTGTCTAATTGATGTCGGCTTGTGGTCAAATCTATAACCAATCGAATCCCTGCAAACCAACAATTGACGATGAGTCTGATTATATTCACCACGTGCTATCACAAGTTGACAAGTAATCAGCTATTCTAACGAATGTCGAAGTGATGAATTCCAACACTTCTATAATTAGAGTGGGGTGGCGACCGGAGGTGTTACAAATTCATTATCACCATGATCCCTATTTTCTTATCAAGACAAGTCAATGGCAATATTCTACAAATTCACAGTCAGTGCACATACATTTCACACCGATGGAGTGCCGCCAGTTTTAAAAGTCGGAGGTGATTATAAAATTTAGAAGTTGAACATGTTATGTGGTCTGTGCCCTTCAGAGTCCATAGATGAGAGATCACTTGTTTATGTTCTGCAGCAACACCATGGTAACACAAACATCTATATTTCAGGAAGTTTGATTGTTAAGTCTGGCAATGTGGCCACAATTAAGAGTACTGGTCAAAAGTCCCAGTGGTCAACGGTCTAGATTTGTAACCTGAAAGTCCTACAGTCCGATCCTTGTGTGTTCGTTCGTCCGTAGCTCAGTGATTGAATGCTCGGCAACAACGGAACACGCACATAATCTGAGGCTCATATTTCTGGCGACCAACGCACCGATTCAGTCCCAAACCACCTCATTACAACTTAGCCGGTATGTCAGAGACTAGCTAAGAAACCCACTGCTATGTGAAAAGGCACAATATCGACCTTCAAAGCTGAAAGCTTGATATCGCTACCTACCCCACCCCACCCTCAGTCGGAAGGTAAGCTTATGATAAATCAATAAAATCACCCACCTCTCTATTGCCATCTGACATAGTGTAAAATGAACCAATATCTTTGAAACACTTTATTGGAAGTGACTGATTAAAGTCGGCATCATTTTCCGCAGCAGATTTTATTATAATTGGGAATAACTATAACAACACAGAGAGAAACGAATAGAAAAGTAAAAAGTTTATTTAAGTCAAGAGTAGACTATTTATGTATTACTGATGGATCGATTGAAATCAATAGTTGTATACTACTTACATCCTGTCCTCGATTCAACTCACTCAAGAACGGTAATAAGCATAAATGTGAGGAAGTAAGAATGGTATCACGAATAAACAATAGGGTTTCATTGGATGTAGCAGATCACACAGAGTGTGTACATCTAAGCAACTGAGAACGATCATTTTGAGCCATATCACCAAATGTCTCCCGACATTGTCTTTTACCATCCTGAGGACGCCGACCAACCAATCAGCCTACACTTTTCTACATGGCTTAAACTGTTATGGATTATATCGACTGATGCAATGTTTTAGTCTGACTACCAATGGCTCTTATTCAACTAACGTTGCCCATCAAGGATGACGATGACCTGGTATAGGGCACATGTGTCCAAGCAATTTCAATCGATGTAGCTTCACGACCTTATTGATTGACTTACCATCCGTACATAGCATTCGATGCCTACATTCAGTATTGCTCACCATATAATACCACCTAACTTACGGAAGAGAGAACGCATACACCTGTGATCAAAACTGGATATCATGTCTACACCAGAGATGGCGTAAGTTGGCGGGAATATGTCAAACGAGTTAGCAATCAATCCACTGATGAGGCTGATGCGACTTCCCAAAAAGTGAAGTGGTCAACAAGCTATACTACTTCGCTCTCCATCTTTAAGTAAGGAGTCAATGAGCTTACTGAAATCCTCTACCAACGGTATAACTGACTGCCTTGTGACAACCTCGGATTGACTTGTTACCAGTGGCCAACAGTCTTGTCTACCACGATTGTGCGAATGTTACTTGTTCCCTTGGGTGAAGACGCTGACAAAATGGAAAGTCTTCTGAAGATGATTTTAGCAGAAATCTTCAAATGTACAGCATAGGATTTGTTCCTGTTGAATGCAAACTGATGCTGCAGTAATGGACTAAACAGGTTCACAGTTTAAAAACAGAGAATAAGTAGTGGTTAAGCGTGTTGATCACCACTTGATTTATTTTGGAAACTGCGTCAACCCTAATGGACGAAATCTGATGTAAATTCTTCACATCCGAGACAGGGGCAGTTAGTCGAATTGCCAGAAAATTGTGCACATTTAATTCAGAATTGGTGAATGGGCGGCGAGCATCACTGTACTGGAAGCCAACAGTCCTCTGGTTATGGATCCGTACTGACAGAGAATCCGTGGTTTGTACTGCTGATGAAGTTACAAAAGATAGTCAGGATCATTTAATACTATCTGATATTATTCTCCTAAATGATATCAGTCAGTTCGTGATGAAGATCCAATTCTACGGCAGTTGTTTGTGTGTTTTGTTGTAAATGACCGCTTATACATGTATTTCGTAGGGGATTTTAAACTCACCGCTGACCACTCAACTTGTATGGGTTAGTGGTACAGTTGTAGTCATTTATAAATCATTGTCACATTGGTTGGGAGAAGGCTGAGAAACTATTCGTACTTCGATAATGTAGCAGGAAGGGCCACTTCTGCCCACCAAGCCTCTGACATGATTTCTTAACTACAATGGAGCAGCGTCAGGTGCTGCGTTTTCATGGTATCTGGTGACCAAATTAGGTTCATACGACAGTCAATCATTTCAGATTCTGGAAGTAAAACAGGTTTAGAATGGTTCCCCATTTCCAAGTTCCCGTACGCAGACGTTCGCATGGGAGGACAGAAGTTAATGCAACTGGTGGTGGTGGTGGTTAATTGTGAGTACCATAGAATGGTAGCGAAACTTCATCGATTAAGAAAAGACCTTTGACAGCGTTGAACAAGAAGTAACTGGAAAACTATTAAACACTACGGCGAGGAGTGTCCAAGTCTTTACCAACTTCACTCAATAGCTGGCTGGCTATATGCCAATTACGTGTCAGGTGATCCAAAACAGAATAATCAGAAGTGACTTTGAAGTGCATACAGGCCTTACACAAGGCTGTCTATTGTTACCTATGACATTTTTAATTGCAGTGGACTGGATAATGCATCACGACTTCCTTGACGATGCCATTAGCAACATATACTCACTCACTTCACTCTGTTCTCCTCCCTTTTGCGTTCTAACTGGATACCAGGCTAGCTTCACGACTACCCATAAAATTTCGTCTCCTCCGCCGTTAAACGATCTCTCCCATGTCCCATTTGGATAGGCCGCTCTAATCGTCGTCCCCCATTCGGCTTCCACTTGACGTCTCAACACTCTCCTCAGCATATGTCCAAACCATTACCATTTGAATTCGGCATGTAAGTCTGGTGATAGGTTCTTGTTTAATTCTTCGCCTGCTAGAAATCCCTTTATGGTTAGTCTTTTCTGGTCTCTCACTCAGCCATCCGATCGTCACCATCGAGTCAAGGGAAACAGTTGTTGATGAAAGTCTGTCGTAGCCTATTCGGTCGATAAGAAAATCACGAACCAATCGACGAAAAGTAAAACGGAGATCCTTTGTTTCATCCTGCTCCTGTATTCACCACAATCAATAGACGAACATTAGATAGTTTTGAAATCGTGAAGTATGTCTTTTGTAATGTAGGCTTCATGATGATTGGCGACTGTCAGTCAGTAAGCCACCTGTACATATATCAGCAAAGACGAAGGAACTCATACCTTACTGACACGACAGGACTTACACCTACATTGGTAACCCTATATGACAACACCACTACAAACAGGATGAAATGTACGTCACGGATTCTACACAACTAGTCCCCCACCATCAACCAATAATGACACCATGTTCATTTTCACATAACAGAGAAATGTCTGTTGCCACGACTGATTTCCATTCTTGTTACGCTGACAAACATTACAACTTCAGCGTGTAACAGAGAAGATTTATAGATAAAATGGGGTGATTTTGCTCTGGTTGATTGTGTTCTTCGAGAAGTTGGATGACGGGAAGCAGCTTTCATTTTCCCTCTTTGCAGACAAAATCACTTCAGAGTCGTTGTAAATGCGTGGAATCATTTGAACCTGCCTCGTTTGTAAGAGACACAGAGAGACAGTTATCGCAGTGGTGGAGAATTCAAATGAGTTCACACTTCACACACACACACACATTTCGAAGTTCAGCAGTGAAGATGTTGTCTAGAAAAACGACCAATGAAAGTTGCTTTGCAATATAAAAACCATCATCTTTTTTTTCTTTTGATTGCACACTAGTCAGTAACTAGTGTAATGCGTCTAGTCCTATCTTCGGTGCAGACTGAATTCTATCAGTCATGTTTGCAATGTGGCCACCATGCTAGGTGGCTCGACATTACGGTGCACTGTGAATTGTTGGTATTAGATGGTTGGAGGCAATCGGCAGGAAGCCTTGGACCTAGGTTTCGTGCTAGTTCGCACTCATCAGCATCAGCACCATCTAATACCAACAATTCACAGTGCACCGTAATGGCGAGCCACCTAGCATGGTGGCCACATTGCAAACATGACTGATAGAATTCAGTCTGCACCGAAGATAGGACTAGACGCATTACACTAGTGACTGACTAGTGTGCAATCAAAAATATCCAATACAGTCCTACAGGAGGTCAGTCGCGAGTCTGAATAGCTCAGTGGTAACGTCTCTGACTGCAGCACTGGGTGACGCGGGTTCGAATCTCAGAAGGGACATCAGTTCCTTCAAGGTTGCAGATACGCCTTGCTGATGAGTGCCAACTAGCACGACACCTAGGTCCAAGGCTTCCTGCCGATTGCCTCCAACCATCTAATATAAACCATCATCATTCAGTCAGGTGAGGGAACAACAACACAACTAATCACACCAACAAAACAAGTAAATAAAACAAGAGACTGACTTACTTCAGTTAAATAATCAGCCCAAGTATACTTTTCTTCAAGGCTTATACAAACATGAAGTGAATGTTTAGAGGAATTAGACGCCATGCTGAATTGAGAACCTTTGGGTATGTAAAGTAAGTCACCAGGATTCATCGCAAAGGTTAAAATATCTAAAAGCAAAACAAAAGTCAAAACAAAATGATTTCAAAACCGTTAATATGAGTAGAGAGAGATACCATTAATTTCAAAGTTTAGATCACCAACTGGCATGTGTCAGTTCAGTTAACAGTAAGTATTAGAATGATTTTCAACGGTTCGATTTTTCAGGGAACATACATTTCATTTTAACATCACTTACAAACTGTACTGTGGTACTACTCATCTTACACCCTCACCTCTATTCATGCGATTCGACGGTTAATGCGATTCAACTACTACACACTCTCCACCTTTAAGCTAGAAGTTTTGTACTCCAATCCTGCAGTATCATCTTATATTTGACAGTCGACAAGACTGTTTGCCCCTGGTAACAAGGCCCTCTTTCAAGTTACTTACGTCAGTTAGGGTCAATTCCACTAATGATGAAAGTAAGCAAACAGGGTACAGTGGAGATCCCTGGTGGACATCGTTGGTTACTATCATACTTCAGATGAAAGCTCTTCGGAAGCTTTTTCTTACATCGCTGCGTGAGTTCCATTGGAGAGCCTTGTGACTAGGGTAAGATACACTTTCTCGTCACTACCTCCACAGCTAAACATGATCAATACACTCTCATCTTCGCCTAAGCCTGCCTGGTTTTATCGTTCCTGTTTCTCCCAAGCACCACGTAATCTACGCATGATTATTTTAACTGGACCTCTGGATAGTATTATATCCGTCGATCACAAGAAAACTTGTCTTCCTTCTCATAAACTGACTGGGATAATCAGTGGCTTACAAACCACACTAGTCTGATGGGACTATATCTGATTCCCAGACATTGCCAGGCCACCGTTTGAGTGGAACACCAGGGGGGAAGATGAGTTGAATATGGGTCCAAGGGTGACGTGGAGACCGCATGAAGAGGAGGTGGGAGGCTATATGCAATCGTACAGCTAGATATAAGGAACTGCAGGGAAGAGGATAGAATAGAGGTTTGTCACAGTTGAAGCTCTGTGTTCCACTTGTAACCTAATTATCATTATAATATTGTCTAAATTAGAACCACGAAATACAGAAAAACAAGCTCACCTTTATTTTCACCTGCCATCTCTCCTTCTGTACTCCTGAAAATTGAGAGTTACAAAAATTTAGTGGGATGATACAGAGGTTACACATATTTAATTAGCAAAGTTCAACAGTGTAGACACCAAGAGGCTGGGACGCTACGCCGAAGACGATTGAGCAACGAAGAAAACTTGGGGTCCTAATTCAACCCTATCCTTAACCTTAATCTCTTCCTAACCTAACTTAAATTATACATTATTAAGATACAAACCTGGTATATTATGGGCAGCCGGACGTGCCACACCCACAAAATTGTCTCATAGTTTGTGAGGTCGGTCGGTCGGTCGTGTGTGAGGGCTGTGATACATACAGATTCGATAAAAGTTAACCCACTGTCGGCCTGATCAGGTCGTTTATAGGCGCAAACTGACTTCGAAATGACCGGACACCCTGGTTTTAATGTGCTTACACACTTCACTCAACACTTTCTCTGATTGAATATAGTGTATTATTCTATGTGGTTTTGCTGCCTTGCTTTCTGACGATATGCTCCGAAATCATTGTTTGCTGCTGGTATTTGCATTTGTTGGCTGGTGTGTTAAGCCATTCCCTCCCAATCAGCCCTCATATAAAAAAACCACAGATATCATTAATCGTGAATTAATTTGAGAATTGCTTTAGTCCAACGAAGTGTTACAAACCGTTATCAACAACCTTATTTATTAACAGCTCTATACTGATGATGCTGCACGTTAAGGAATACACAACGAAAATCACACCGGAGCCTTTGATGTGAAGACAAAAGTGTTAGACAAGATTTCTCACAGTATCACGGATGATACTTACTGACTGTCGTGTGTAGCGGGAAGACAGGAGATGTACACATTCGACCGACCATATATATGGGAAGATTTGAACCTCGCGTGGATGATTTACGCCTACCTAGTGTTGTACAAACGGTGTAGATCTACAGGCGAAAACCAGACAACAAGTTTAGCAGAAGAGGTAGGTACAGAGAAGATAGAACTATTCACATGAGCACAGAGAGAAGACACAGTGAGGACACCCAGCCAATCAACAACAACAACAAGCACAATTACAATTATCAGAAGGCGGAATCTAAAGGAATTCGCCTATTCGACTTATCTAACCGCCCTGACAGCATCGTTTTAACTGTGAACGACAGCACAGATAAGGATTTCAAAGTCAGTCAGTGAGGATCGACAAAGCAAGACTACGAAATCGGTCTCTGAAATCTACTACACTCAGCATGCAAGAGACAGGGTTTGGCTTTTCAACACTAATGTCATTTTATTCAGCGCATCTTTATGGTTCACAGACTGTATGTGCACATCACGAAAAGTATTTCCGACAGCTGTCTTCGTTCCATAACGAATATCAAAAGATGCATAACAAGGAATTCTGGCAACCAGTTAACCAAGAACTTACTGCCTGTCCATCAAATATGCAGATGAATCAGATGTACCAGTTGAGAAGACCATGGAGTAACGTGACACAAGCTCCGGCCATCGGATGCGACCCGAACGGGAGACGAGTTGGTTTTTAGTCTGTGCTCCTGCTGAAACCTCATATTCCACTCACAGCGCGAAAAGAAGGGACAAAAAATATTAATAATAACGATTCTCAAGAATTAATTTGTGGGGATTTTATTTGTCAAAAGCTTGATCGCGAATTGATGTCAGTCAGAGAAACATTGAAAACCAGCACGGGTGTACTGGATGGCTATTTCGCCTAGGAGTGAGATTCTTCATATGCATGCACGCCTCCCCTCTCACAGGCGTCAGAACCCATAACCTTCCAGATGCAGGTTAACCTCGTAGGCCATTCAGGACAGGACCGATCTGGTGGACAGCCTAGGAATTCCGACTTGAACAAATTCATGATTTTAGCGCGACTAACAGCACCAGCCAATGTCATAAGCGTGTAACTGTCATAACGCCATATAGCACAGTGGAAGAACCCAACTAAGCACAACTTCTCAATGGGAAGAAGAGTCAACTTCGTCCTGTAGCCAGTCACTAGTGAGCATCATCAGATTAATTTTCAACAGTTAGTTAGTTTGTAGGGAGATTTGATTTGTTCCAAGTTTGAGCACGGACTGATGTCAACGGCCTTGCCTCGTTTTAATCAGAAAAGGTCGGGGCGTTTATTGCTGAAGAGTCTCAAACTAGGAAGACGAAAGTTGTTTAGTACTCCAGTACTGGTTTTTTATAGGTCTTCGTAGACGTCAATCAATGAGTGATCAAACTTGGAGTAATAATAATAATAATAATCTAATTACCTTGAAACTTGCACTTTTTGTTTCCCTTCTTGTTGTAGGATGAACAGGTCCACATGCGACCGATTTACGGTGAATCCAGTGAATTCTGAGGGAAACAAGTAAGCTGTAGCATAGCAGCGACAACCAAAATTTTCTTGTAAGGTATTCTAAAGAGGAAAGATACGCTGTACGTATGTCTGGGGATTACTGAAGCGTATTCCACCATTTCCCTAAAAGTCCAAGAAGTAGAAAGACAGATAGTTCAAAAAAATAGAGGAAAGATTAGGAAAGAGGCAATCAATATCAGTACAAAAAGATACAATCAAAAAGAGAGTCACAGTGAATTCATCCACACTATACTAAATTAGATGACAAAGAAGAAGGTTCTAACGACAGTTTCTTTGAACATGCACCAAAATGGCATTCGACTAAAGCCAGAGAATAGTTTGAACTCCTGATAGGCGCTGAATACCGAGCAAAGGCATTGCGAGCATTCAAAATAATCGACAAACAGAAAAACAGTCCAAGTTTTACTCTTTATTTTGCTGAGGCGATCACAATAAAACGACTGAAACCTAATCTATGCGCCCAAGAATAATCTGTAGTCCGACTTCAATTATTCAGGTGACTTTCCGCTTAGTAGTAACTCTCTTCAATTATGAGTCAGACTGTGCATGGGAGCGAGAAGACAGGAATACGCTGGACCACCAATAAGAAGACTCTAGAAGATCTGGATTTCGCAGATCATATACATCTAATGTCACGCAAACTCGAAAACTTACAGGCAAAAAGCAACAAACTGGCTGAAGAAGCAGCCGCAGAAGACAGGACTCCAGGTGAACATAGAGAAGACGGAGGTGATGAAAATAACCAGCCAATTGCAACCAGCACCAATCACCATTAACGGGAGAGATTTAACAGAGGTTACCTCCTTCACTTGTCTAGGAAGCGTCGTATCAAGTAAAGGCGAGTGGAACGGATTCACATCTCAAAGGCAGAATTGGAAAGGCAAGATACAACCTGAAACCAGTTTGCAAATCTTCTGCACCCATTCAGCATACAGAACAAGATCCGGGTTTTCGACACAAATGTGAAGTCAGTCACTTCTTCTACATGGGCTAGAAACTCGGTCAGCGCGTCACGAAAAGCGTTTCCAACAGTCAGTTGCAGACTCCTATCAACAGCTGCCTTCACTGGCTGCATACTGAAGAACAAATGGCCGACCAGAATGAATTAGTAACAAGAAACTATGGCGACAAACCAGCCAAGAGCACGTTGCTCAAGTAATATGTAGGGAAAATGGAGATGGATCAGGCATACGTTGATGGAACCATCAAATGACATTGCGCGCAATGAAGGCCATCGCTTGAGTGGAATGCAAATCGGAAGCGATGAGTTGATTGTCAGTGCGAGGGTGACATGGAGTGTAGAGGAGGAAGAGATGACAGATTATGGGCAACCGTAGACCCACCTGAAGAGGACGACAGGAAATAGAAGAAAGTGGAGATGTCATTAAAGCCTCGTGTTCCACTAGGAACGTAAGGGATTAATAATAATAGTAACTCTTTATCTTCTCATTTCACCAATATGTTTCTCTTGCTACCCCCCACCTCCAACCTATCATTGTTCTCTCAACTTTTATATTAGACTCAAGTTTTCTAATCCTTCATATTCTACTTACCATATTACATAATCGCCATCATTTCATTCAACTTCGTATACACCGATAATTCGATTTCCTAATCTTATGAGTTATACTATAACAGTATTTTAATAAATCTGACTGCGTAATTATCACTACCTGATCACTATGGCATGCAACAAATCTTTATCAACCTCATTCCACAGCTGGCTGGCTATATGACAATGTCATGTGTCAGGTTTTTCCACAACGGAAAACCCAACCATACCTCCGAAGTGCATACAAGAGTTAGACAAGGCTGTCTACTATCACCGATGATATTCCTAATTGTGGTGGACTGGGTTATTAGGAACACCAAACGTGGGAAGCGAGGGGACAGGAACACGTTAGACTGATAAGAAGACTCTACGAGATGTGGATTTCGTGGATGATCCATGGCTAATTTCACACAAACTCGAAGACATACAAGCGGAAGCCAACAAACTGGCAGAAAAAGTAGGTAGCGAAGACACCACTTCCGGTGAACAAAGAGAAGACACAGGTGGTAAAAATTACTAACCAACTACAACAAGTACCAATCACTATCAAAGACAAAAACTCACTTATCAAGGTTACATCGTGTCAACTACAGCAGACGGTACGGATGAGGGTGTCAAAACCACAATCAGGAAGGCAAGGTAGACCTTCATCACTCTAAACTCAGTTTGGAAATCTTCTGAACTCAGCATAGGGAACAAAATTCGGATTCCCAACACCATAGTTAAGTCAGTCAGATCTCCCATATTAGTCAGGAACTTGGCAAGGTGAGCCATGAAAAGCACTTCAACTGGCTACTGCAGACTTTCATCAACAGCTGGTTTCACTTCATCATGAAAATCAAATAGTCAGGAAGAATTAGAAAGAAGAAACTGTGGCAACGAATCGTTGCCTAACGAATATCCCGAGGAAAATAGATATGGGTGGAACACGCGCTGAGTAGACCGTCCGGTGACATTGCATGCCAGGCCATTTCTCGAGTGGAATCCGAATTGGAAACGACAAGTAACGCGTCGCTTTGAGGGTAACATGGTTCAAATCATGTGTTGAGGAGGAGCAGGAGGAGGTGAGTTTATGGGCAATCGTAGGGTCAGCTAGGCAGGACTGTGAAGACTAGCACAAAGTGAAGATGTGCCCCGGCTGAATCCTTATGTTACACTCGGAACCCAAGAGAACAATCATAATAATAGCACCACCCTAACAATAAATCTGTCCAGTATTTCGCGTGAAATCTTTCTCTTGTGTTTATATATGCTGATAATTTGAGATAGTCTTATCATCCTTGTGTTTCGTTTCACTATGAATTTCTTATGATAACCCTGAAGGTTATATTCATGATGTAATAGACAAAATGCATGTTAAAGTTGTATTATAACTTGCCTTATTTAATATAGCATAGGTTGTATGAGGCTGAGGAGAACGAGATAACATGGATCTACGTCACACTATGTACCGAAATTTGTTCTAACTCAACTCAAATCGATTTAAAAGCGGGGACTCATGCATCACATTTATTAGCCCTTGATTAACATATATACCGGACTAAGATAATCGATCTCCTCCTGACATTTCGGTTTCTTCCACGAGTTCTTTGACGATGCCATTAGCAACATATACTCACTCACTTCACTCTGTTCTCCTCCCTTTTGCGTTCTAACTGGATACCAGGCTAGCTTCACGACTACCCATAAAATTTCGTCTCCTCCGCCGTTAAACGATCTCTCCCATGTCCCATTTGGATAGGCCGCTCTAATCGTCGTCCCCCATTCGGCTTCCACTTGACGTCTCAACACTCTCCTCAGCATATGTCCAAACCATTACCATTTGAATTCGGCATGTAAGTCTGGTGATAGGTTCTTGTTTAATTCTTCGCCTGCTAGAAATCCCTTTATGGTTAGTCTTTTCTGGTCTCTCACTCAGCCATCCGATCGTCACCATCGAGTCAAGGGAAACAGTTGTTGATGAAAGTCTGTCGTAGCCTATTCGGTCGATAAGAAAATCACGAACCAATCGACGAAAAGTAAAACGGAGATCCTTTGTTTCATCCTGCTCCTGTATTCACCACAATCAATAGACGAACATTAGATAGTTTTGAAATCGTGAAGTATGTCTTTTGTAATGTAGGCTTCATGATGATTGGCGACTGTCAGTCAGTAAGCCACCTGTACATATATCAGCAAAGACGAAGGAACTCATACCTTACTGACACGACAGGACTTACACCTACATTGGTAACCCTATGTGACAACCATACTATAACGACCTAATACGATTCAGAAAGGATGGGTAGGCTGCGGTCTACCTCGCCCTCTGGAAATGCGGCCACGCGTTTGTAAATGCCATCAACCAAGTTCTCTTCACTGCTTTCATGTACCGGGGCAGGTGTTCTTGACAAAAATGAGTGAAACGGCGAGTGAGAACGTCTGGCGCTTATAACCCAACCACTACTGGTGAAGGAAATGATAGTCTTCTATCGAGGGCTGTTAGGAAACCCCGATTATTCCAAACCCTTGGTACCTGTGAATGGGGTGTAGAATTTGAACAGATCAAATGATTACCGGGAAGCTCCTGTTTGACAGACTTCAGGTCAAAGGCTTGGGCCGAAAATACGGACCCTTAAAATAACTCCAAAACCACCAGCTGCTTCAGTTTTGGCGTCTAAGTAGTAAATATCCCACAAAATATGAGGAAGCAATGTTTGTAGCACATCTCTAAGTGTCCATAATGTACTGAATTGACTACCACTGACTGTAATAATGCTCATTGTCACTTTGGTCTCACACGTCAGTTTACCTCTAGAAGAAGTACACTGAAGCTACAATGGTGTATCAGTCAACGACAACTACTACTTGCAATTTCACGCACTGCAGGCAGATAGCAGTAATAAGTCACACCTTTTGATTCCGTGAGAAAGCTGATGAACCTTTCCAGGGCTGCGTGTAGCGGGTTTCGAACTAGTGTATAATCCACAGCATGTGTGTGTGCATTTCGTTCCGTTGGGGACTTATCAGTCAGCTGAATGAATATACCTGTATACTCAGACAACAACAATTAGTACCCTCCACTGAAGCACAAGAGGTGGTTCTTATGATCTCAGTGGAAGTAATTACATACAACACAGAGATAAAGTGATAATCAATAGCAAACGAATTTACGGTTATTATTATTATTATTACTACTACTACTAATACTTTAGACAACCTACAGCATAATGATTGAATACAACTTCGGAGACAGCTCTTTCTCCTTGTGGGTACATGGTTTCTTGTGATGATTGTGTTCCACTGTCAAGCAGATCCACATGTTCACCGTAGAGGAGTAGCTCCTTTGACAAAAAAGGAAAAAAATAAACAATAATAATGATGATGGTAAATACATTGACTCTCTCACTCACTGAGTGTCGCAGAACTTAGGTTCAGTCTAATGTAATTTGTCCCACAGTTATCATATGCTATTGGGCAAATTCTGCTAAATTTTTTTTCTTAATTAGGTCTATTGGGTCCTGCAGCCGACAAATTCTATCTCTGAGACAGCTGGTTGCTTGGTTTTAATGCCACCCCAACTAATTCCAGCCTCACTGAGACGTTTCTTGTTTATACGACAGTAATAAAACAGAGGCTTTCAAGTCTATATTATTTTTGATCATTTTCACTACTAATCTTATTTTCTCAATGGTTTCTTATGCATTTCTGAATAAACTCTGGTGGGTAGTTTAGTCAGTCACTAGTAATATTTTCTTAATTTGTTTGATTTCATTCATTTACTAGTTAGGCACCTAGCCCGATTATACAAACAAGATTTAACTAAACCTAGCTTCCTTTACCGACGACTCTGGACAGGACTAATTTGAGTCTAAGTATTCATCAGTGTGCAGGTTTCATCTATAAATGCTAGTATCCGTTTTATTTTACAGCATATTGGCATAATTAACTCACCTTGTCAATTTTCTGATTTAAATGTCAATTGGATTCTGTCTACTATTGAGTTTATATGAGTGTGAAGAACTGAGGGTTGATATGTTCAGGTTTTAACACAGTGAATTTGTCATATCCACATATCTCCACTATAACCTACTCAAGAGCACGTTCTAAGAGCTTTATGTTCTCAATTATCCATACATATGTTTGCTGCAACTATTGGGGATATTGGTGATCCCATTGCCACCGCATTCATTTGTTTGTGTACCTTATTTCGAGATTGAAATACAGTGGAGTTTAGACATATCTTGATCGACTGACATTGATAAACAATTCATGAAGACAAAGCTTGCGTATTTTGTACAATCTAGAAGACTCGTCAGTTGGGTCTTCATGTATCACCATCCTAGCCCCGCCAATGAGACATCATCGCAAAATCTGCGCTAACGGCCAACATATCAACAGAGATACCAAGCACAAAAGGTGGACATCGTGGCTCACAGTGGTCTAGGGCATAACGCCTTAGCGTTTGAAACGACAGATGCTGACCGCCTTCGAGTCATTTGATTTGTTCCAAAATTGATCGGGTTTGACGTCACACTGGGTAAATTGTGAGTGACTACAGGTCAGCTAAGTTGCTCCTCAGTGTTCCCTTCAAAGTGTTTCAGTCTTCTATTCTGAGAGGGGTAATCAAAGCGTTGTTCTTTTAGGAGATTGTCTCGCTTATTACTTGTCCTTTTGCAAACCTGTTTCCCAAATAAAGTAAACATAGTCGTCTGGCATTACATATCACCGATATCACTTTTCATCTCCTTCTGTTTTGTCGTTGCAGACACTGAGCAGCTTTCGCCCCTCATCATGTTTGCAGCCCACCAGAGTTAGTCTTCATTGCGTCCATCCACCACAATTCGGGTTATGAGCAATAAAAATCCACTGGCACTCACTCTGAGCTTTGATTTCACGTTACCGAAGAACAGAAAATGCCAGTAGATCCATGAAACCAAAAGAAAATGGGGACACTGAATATCCTTGTCAGACAACCATTGGCTGTCATCACACTTCAGATGACTGGATACGCAAAAACAAAAGCCTCAACATGTTTGAAAGCCTAAAATGCGTACACACACATCCATCTACTTACCTTAAGCACTATTTCAAACAATTCAGATGACGTTAACCAAATATCACTCTTATATTTGGATCGCTCGCCTCGTTTTACATGCAATGGAGATTTTCCATAATTCTCTCTGGAAAAATCGAAAACACATGAAATAATGACTGAGTGACTTTTCTTGGGGTACGTGAAACAGTGTGGAGCATTAATAGATTTGCGTGACTACACAGCCCAACGGACAGCAGTGCTTCAGGCCGGACATTAATACACACACAACCTGTGTTTGAAGTGGTTTTAGAGTTTATGCTCGTACTACATAAGATCTAACCACTGGCTAAGGACTGTCACCACACGATCAATCAGAATGTACAATTTCACGGGATTAACCTCAACTAACCCCCTGCCTCGTCTCCTGACTAACTAGTTTCAACAAATTACTTTCCACAGAAGTGCAGCAGCAATTCCACTTGTTGCACTCCCTCCATATGGAGCATATAAGGAAGATAAAAAGTAGAAAACAAAGAGATTCGAAAGAACAATTATGAGAAGGAATATGAAGGGGCAAGAATTGTAACATGGAAAACCAATAAGATTCCAATGGATATGACAGATTACAAAAAGAATGAATTAATCTTCTCCACTGAGAACGGTTATCAGCCATTTCATTAATTGCCTCTAGCCTTCAATGATTCCCATCATCCCGAAGACCCCAACCAGCCAACCACACAATCTACACCTCCTCAAGTGGTTAGCTCAAACTAACTTTTAAAGATTTTATGGACTGATGCCACGTTTTGGTTTGGCCATCGCTATCTCTCTTCCAATCTCATACAGTGACTCCCATCGTCACAATGGAGATACAGCATCCTCGTCATATGAGTGGAGGAAACATCTTACTGATTGCTGTTGATTACATACCTATCTCACTTTTCACCAGCAGTACGACTTTGTTCTATAATAAACTCCATGGAGGCCATTCTTAGTCTATTTGTTCCTCCTTGTTCTTTATCAATAAGTATTTCCAAATGATTATTCATCACTATGAACAAATTAGTTGTCAGCTCTTTCAATTACGTAAGATCATTCACAATATATTACGATTAGACACAAGATGGTATTTAGCGTCATGAATCCAGCCTTCGGCATCCATCAAACTAGGTGGCTAGCTACTATGCCGCACTTTGAATTGTTGTTTTTACATGGTTGAAGGTAACCGGCAGGAATCCCTGTGTGGACCTAGCTTTCCTACTTGTTGGCACTCACGCCAGTCACAAAGGCACATCTAGAATCTTGAAAGAACTAACGACGTCCCCTCTGGGAGACTTCAAGCCAGGTTGCTTAGTGGAGTGCTGCAGTCAGAGACATTACCACTGAGCTATTCAGATTCATGAAACAACACTTCAAGTGAGCACAGAGAAAATGGAAGTGATGAAAATACCCGATAACCAACAACAATAATAACAAGCGTCAATCACTGTCAACGGAAGAAATTTGAAAGAGGCCTCCTTTTCACTTATCTAGGCAGCATCGTGTCAACTACAGTAGAAGGTATGGATGAGGATATCAAAACAAGAATCGTAAAGGCGAGACAGAATTCATAACCCTGCTGCATTCCACAGTATAAAGAACGAAATTCGGATTCTGTCTAACACTACTGGTAAGTCAGCCGCTTTATATTAAATATGGGTCAGAAACCTGGCGTGGTGAGCCATGAAAAACATTTCTAACAGCTTACTTCAGACTTCCATCAACAGTTAGCTGCTCATTAAATATGCTGAAGAAAATGGAGATGGATCGAAGACACCGAGGGACAAACAGACCATCGCTCGAATGAAACCCGGAAGGGAAAAGATGAATTGGGCTTTTTTCCAAGAGTGACATGAGGTAGATGAAAGCTCATGGACAGTCGTGGATTCAATCAGCTGAAAAGGACTGCAGACAACAGGATGAAACGAAGATGTGCCTCAGTTGAAGCCTGCATTGCAGTTGGAATTCAAGAGAATAATGATGATAATAGTAGCTAATCTCATGCATCTAGGTCCTTCGTTCAGTGGTAAACATGTCTCCAACTATTGCTAGGACTGTGTACTCCAGCTGGTGAGGTAAGCAGATCTTCCTGGAGACTCACTGTTTCCAACCACTTAAATAATAACAATTATTCACTTTTTAAACCCACTTGAATAACTGACTGTGCACTGACTGACTGGTTTCAACACTGATGTGCAGCAATTCGAGTCACCACACTCCATGCAAAACACAAAGCAAGAAAATAGAGTAAAAAGAAGTTCAAAATAGAGACAATAAAGAGATATGAAGCAAAAATTATAATAATATCGAAGAAGAAACATAGTTTTATTGGGTGTTGTCTCTACAACTAACTGTATGTTGTGACAGGCTACCTCAGGAGGAGTTCTGCTGTCGAACTCAGATACTCGTTTGACTATTTCTTCCTTAAATAGGAACTCACAGTTTCGATATAGTTGGGGAAGTAACTGCTTCGCTGAGAAACAATTTTTCATGTCCGTTTAGTCGTAAGTATAAACGTGAGCGAACCAGTGCGTGATCATAGTCTACGCATGTGTTCCAGAAGGAGTGGCAGTCTTTTACTGACCCTCGCCAACGATACCTTATCGCTATGTGGTCTATCTGAGTCCAGCGTTGATTTAATGATGGAGGTCGCCAGGTTACGCAGTGTCTCTCTCGGTGCCTAAAGTTAGTGCTGACTAGGAACAGATGATTATCTGAGCAAAACTGTAGAAGACGACCACCGTTGTCGGTTCGTCGGCAGGGAACTCCATACGTGCCACCTAATTACTTCTCAGTCTAGCACAACTTCCCTACTTGGGCATTAAAAGTCGACTGATAAAACAACTATATCTGAGCCTTTTGCTTTTTACAGCAGATTAGACAGTTTCAGGTAGAAGTCATCCTTTATTTAATCCGAACTGCAGTCTACTGGGGCGTAAGAGGGCATTATGAAAAGACAGCGACGGATAATGCCGTACCTCCTTCTAACGGATCGCACACATAAGACTATCTACTGGAATCCAGTCGAAAGTGATTCTTCTGCCCTAACACTCAATGCTATCTTCACACCTGCGAGTGCTCACAAACTATCTGAGGGCCTTCTGACACCCTTAAAGTGAATTTTGCAGATTCAACTTTTTGGGCAGGTGGGTTAAGTGAGTGACCACACTTGGGTCTTGTATGCGTGTCTCCGAAACACGACATACATCCATACCTCGAGATGCCAGAGTCTTTGCTAGTGATGCCTGCTGTCCGATTTGTCGGAGGGCACTGACGTTGAATGCTCCCATATGAAGTCGGCAACGTGACTTTAAGAGGCTGTCGGGGTGTTTCTATGGCTCTCATCTTTGTTTGTGGTCACAGAGTGAAGTGAAGATGACTCACTAGGCTGAAGAATAGTACTGACTGTAGTAGGGAATTCAGATAATGGTGATGTAGGTGAAGGAGAATGATGCTCGAGAAGGCTTCGTGTGCTTTTGAAAGTGTGTGGGCAGTTGTTACTTCCCAGCTGTCCACACCACCGTGGAAGTTGATTGATTCTTCGGGTACCTGAAACAGAGAGAGGGTTAGTGTTGCGTGACAGCAGAGCCCAAGAGACAACTGCTTGAGGCCGGTCACGCACGGCCTGTATGAACTGGTTTCTGGGATTGGTTCCGTGCTAGTAAACTCGCCACCGATTACGGAACATCATACGTGGGGTAATTCGGGATGTACAACTTTTGACGTCAACCTTTTCTAACCCCCTCTCTCCAGAGAGGAGAGACAGCATAGCTGAGATGCTGATCATCTGAAGGAAACACCCTACTGCTGTTACATTCCTGTTCTCCTGCAGTAAGACTTCGCCCACAGACCCCCAGCATAGTTTACAAAATCTTACAGTAGGCCGGTAAATGCTTTTAGTCCAATCGCTATCCTAACAACCTTCCTGGTATGGTAGGACCTGCAGGAACAATATTTCCAACGAGTGTAGCTTGTTAGGTCATTGCGATACAAAAGCCCCCCACTACGTCAAGGTGGCAGCGATCGGTCGGGACTTACTGTACAGTAATCTCAGTGGTCATATACATATATATGTATATACATATATACATTAGAAATATATATGTATATATATATATATATATATATGTATATATATAAGAAATATAAAACCAAAATAACAAATTCACCTGATAAAGTTCTTCAAGTTCGTTGGTTTCAACAAACCAGGAAGCCATTCCTTCCCATATTCAAAAGCATCGAGAAACCTGACACTGGTGGGTTGTTTTACAGATGTTATCGGCTGTTCAGTATGAAAGGGAGGAATATGCACTGACGAAGAAGTACCAACGATAATACCAGATTGAGAAGAATGTTCATATCCTTCAGAGTTGTGCGTCGTTCCCTTTGATGAAGTTCGACTGCTCGATGATAAAGCCGGATAAAAGTTCACAATATCTTTCAACGCACGATTAGGTTGTTTAACTCTATCAGGAGAAGGAGTAGTTACACGTTTCCTTTTCTTAGATGTATTGCTTTTACCATCATGTGGCGTTGAAATGTTTTCTTTCATCGGACTTTCAGCTATGGGGCATCCACCATTTGTTGTGTTAGCAGAATTCAATGATTTCGTCAACTTTTCAAGTAATTTAATGCCTTCTTCTGTGATTTCAACCTTTCCCTGTAAAAAAGAAGAAAAATGGTAAGACCAATAGATGTCAAAGTCACCGAATCAACGAAGATAGCGTGAGAAAAGGATGACAGATTAGGACACTCCGACATGTGAATTATCGAAGATAGCACAAATGTCATGGCTTATTTAGAAATAGGTCAAATTCTAGGCTGACTAATTCCTATGCAATGAAACAGAAGCTACAGGAAATTCAGATAGAAAAGGATGAAAAACAAATTAAGATTAGTTTTAATATAACCAGTTTGTACATACTAATTTCCCAGTGAATACAGCTCTAGGGGTAGTTAAGAATGTGGACCCGACATTGATCATGAACTCAAAAGTAGGACTAAGCTGTCGACTGATAAAACAAAATATTGAGTGTCTAACCAACCCCTGCTGCACTGTGTTCAAAATTGAAAATGAGATATAAAAGCAAACGAACAGAACAGGTGGCAGTGGGATCACCAATATCCTCAGTAGTGGTAGACATATTAATCGACAGCAGGGAACATAGAGCTTTTAGAACATTTCATTCTGCTCCTAGGCAGGTTATGATGTGGTGGACCTTTTGCTCTGTTAGCTTATTTACCCAAAATTCAAATAGAAAACAAAATACCAAATCAATTGAGTTTACGGGAAGAATATATTAAAGTTTTGTTACTTGGGTTTACAAAGGTCCAAATTCCACAATAAACGTGATGGATTCCAGAAGTGCTGCGGGAAGACTGCTCCAGTTCTAATTCTCCAGTGTTGACGTTGCCGGAGGTCGACCAAAGTGCGTAGGAGGAGGCTACGGTGATCCTGCGAAAATTCGAGATAGAAAGCAGGTTGTTATAATTGATCGACGGCAGTTGAGATGGTGGAGAAGACGGAGAGTCGAAGGTAGAATTATATATATATTTAAAACTCGAGGGAAGTTCAAAGTACAGAGTTTTTGGTTAAAACAAAGTAGTGTACAATATGTTCATTTTTTACATGATAGTAAAATTTGGATAAGTTTATTTTTGAGGACTCCACAGGGCTCCCCCTCTTAGAGGTCCGGAGGACCATCAGTACTGCCCTCGTGGACGATTACATGAATATAAGCAATATAAATAATGGGTAATGTCAACAATAAGGGTAACAAAAAAAATAACATCAACAACAATAAGGATACAAAATTAGATCAGGGTGTACGGAATGCATCCGTGTTGTATAAAGTTTAGCACGTGCAAGCAGTAATTTAGAAGAAAAAAATATCAAAACTTGCTATAATTTTAAAGAAAAAATTTTCTGTACATAATAAACCATGAAATGTTCCTTAGCATTTGCAAAATTCATATATAAATAGATATATACAAATACTTGGTGAATGCGTGTGCTTGCAGCACAGTTAACGAACAGCAAACAATAATACTAGTAAATATTTATGGTTATAATGAAATGAACGTCGACAACAATAATAATAAGTATGTTTAAATGAGGTTACGTACTTTTTTTTAATGTCAGTCAACAAAATGAACATAGCGGGCAGGTTTAGAGATCTGCCGTCCACTGCGTGTCTGTACAGGGGGAAGTGTGAAGAGCGGGAGAGTTAGAGTTGCATTGACTTTCTGATTGTTTACTGGTGCCGGCGTTGCTAGTGTTTCATATTCGCTGTCGGTGTACGCTGGTTTAAGACGATCGATAGAAACAGTCTCCGGTTTACCATGTTTATTCAGCGTGAAGTATTTATCTGTGCGTTTAAGTACTAGAAAAGGACCTTCATATGGATGTTGCAAACCTTTTCTAATGGCGTCGACGCGAACAAATACAAATCTGCAAGTGAGTAGATTCTTATTAACTTGAGCTTTCTGAAGTGATTGGCGAGGGGTTACTGGTCGAAGCTGGAGCATTTGCTGGGTAAGGCGGTTGGTGAAGTCGGAGATATTTACTTCAGTTGAATCATTAGACGGAACTAACTGACCAGCCAACGTGAGGGTAGTACCATACACAAGTTGAGCTGGTGTACATCCCAAATCTTCTTTGACAGTTGATGGGATACTGAGAAGAACTAACGGTAGGTGTTCACTCCACTTAGATGAGTCAGCTTGTGCCATTAATGAGCTTTTCAGTTGTCGATGGAAACGTTCCACCAGACCATTCGCTGCAGGATGATAAGGTGTAGTGGAGATATGGTTCACTCCAAGGAGTCTCGTAAACTCTCGAAACAGAGTTGATTGAAATTGAGCTCATCGGTCTGTTGTAATCGTTGTTGGTACTCCGTAGTTTGACACCCAACGATCTAAGAAAACCAAGGCGGTATTTTCTGCAGATATGTCGTTGAGTGGACAAGCAATAGCTCATCGGGTAAATCGATCAATGGCAGTAAGTATATGAGTAAATCCTCTGGATGGCGGTAATGGTCCAATAATATCTATGTGCACGTGTTGGAATCGTCTATCCGGTAAACTGAACTGCTTTGGAGATGTAACGGTATGATGATGTACCTTGGATCTTTGACATTGCAAGCACTGGTGGGCCCATTTCCGAATATCGGAGTTCATCTTGGGCCAAACAAAACGTTCGCTGATCAACTTGACCGTAGCACGTATACCAGGATGAGACAAGGAATGCAGATGTTCAAACAAAGGTTTTCGACAACTTAGTGGGACAAAAGGTCTATGAACGCCCGTTGAAACATCGCAGACGATGGTTGTATCAGACAGGGGAATAGGTACGTCCTGCAACTGTAGGGAGGAGTTTCGTCTGCAAGAATGAAGTTCGGCGTCATTTTTCTGCAGCTTGGCTATATTTTCTAAGCTAATATCTATCGAAGATAGGTGATTAACGTCACATCGAGATAAAGAATCAGCTACGATATTGGAATCTCCTTTGATGAACTGGATGTCTGTTGAGAATTGTGAGATGTAATCCAGTTGTCTGGCTTCTCTCGGAGAGTGTCTATCCAACGAAGTGGTGAAAGCGTAGCAGAGAGGCTTATGGTCCGTTAAGATAGTAAAATGTCTACCTTGTAGTAGGAAGCTGAAATGTTTTACTGCTAGGTAGATGGCTAACAGTTCTCTGCTAAATGTGCTGTAACGAGTTTGTGCAGGTTCCAACTTTTTGGAGAAGAAAGCAAGTGGAGTGGTGTCATTATTGAACTTTTGTTGTAAAACTGCTCCCACTGCTACCTGCGATGCATCTGTACATAAGATGAATGAAGCTTCTGGATTGATAGGAGACAACATTACGACGTTGGATAAGGCATATTTTGCGTTATAAAATGCTGCTTTTGCTTCTTCAGACCACTGAAATTTCTTTGAATTGCGTCTAAGTAGGTCGGTCAGTGGCTGAACTATGGAGGCACATGATGGAATAAAACGTCGGTAGAAGTTGAACATCCCGAGGAAACGTCTAAGTTTCTTTAAGGAATCAGGTTCGGGAAAGTTCTTAATAGCTTCTATCTTATCTTCGGTAGGTCTGATGCCTTCAGCAGTTATTCGATGTCCTAAAAATTCGATGGATGGGGAACCAAAAATACATTTCTTTGGATTGATCACAACTCCAAATTGTTCAAATCTTTGAAATAACAAGCTTAAGTGTTCCATATGTTCTTCCATCGATGAGCTGGCAATTAAGACATCGTCGATATACACAAAGACAAAATCAAGACCTTGGGTAACTTGGTCCATAAAACGCTGAAATGTTTGCGCGGCATTCTTTAGACCGAAAGGCATTCTCAAGAATTCGAATAATCCAAAAGGTGTGATAATTGCTGTTTTTGGAATGTCTTCTGGAGCGACTGGTATTTGATGATATGCTCTAACCAAGTCAACTTTGGTAAAAATAGTCTTTCCATGTAACGCCAAGGAGAAGTCGTGGAGATGAGGTATAGGATAACGGTCTGGTACCGTAGCGTTATTCAGAGCGCGATAATCTCCACATGGTCGCCAGTCGTGATTAGTTTTGGGAACCATATGCGAAGGTGAAGACCATGGACTGTTGGATGGTCGTATGATGCCCAGCTGCATCATATGTTCGAATTCCGACTTAGCTGCTGCTAGTTTATCTGGTGGTAACCGTCGTGGACGTGCCTTCACAGGTTGTCCTGTTGTGATGATTTTATGCGCAACTGTA